GGTAGCCTGGAGGGGAGGTGGGTGGGACATGGCAAGGTCCCCAGGATCCATTCAGCAGCAGCGTGGGGATGGCTTGGGCCCAGCATCCACAGGACACAGTGCCAGGGCCCGTTCCCCTCACCATGCAGAGTGGGGAGTGTATCCTCCAGTCCCTCTCTCAGGTGAAGAAACAACTAGACAAGCAGACATAAAGGGCACAAGCCTCTGCTGAGCACCTGATCATGTACAAGATGCTGGGAAAGACCGGATATAAGGTGGTCCAGGCAAAGCGGCCGTGTGTTCATGGGTTTGAACTGCTCAGAAAGATTCAGCTGCTTTTTATCATCTCTGCTCTTCCAAAGATTGATGGCAATTTTAAAAAAGTGTTATGCAGCCTAGGGTCAAGTTCACCAGGGTCAGAAAATGCTACAGAGCCGGTAGAATGTGACTTGGGGCTTGAAGGACAGACAAGATTTGCATAAACATCAGTGTTTGGGGCTCTGGGAAAACTGCCCACAGAGGGGCTCTGTCTGCCTCCAGGAGAACCCCCAAGGTCCTGGCTGGCTGGAGAGCAGGGCTGGATGAGACAGCCCTGGGGGTGGGTTAATGAGTGACATGGAGAGACCTGGGTAGGCCACCCCTCCTGTCCTTCATCGTCAGTCCAACTCCAGAGCTGGGCGCTTTCCTTTCTGAAGTCAGCAGAGGGCTTTGGCCAACAGGTAAAGGCTTCTGCCAGCTTGTGGCATTGAAGCTGACCTTAACCCAAGCCCTCTGCGATCCCAGACAGAGCTCATGGGGGAGGGGCCCAGCAGTTCCAGGCAGAGCACCCACGTCAGCTCAGACAGCCTGGGGTTTCCAGAACCACCAACCCCTTGAGGCTTCAACACGATGGAGGAAACCTCTGTGAAGAGGTCACAAACCCTCTGTGCCCATCTGGGAAAATCTGACTTCCACAGTAATGTAGGGAGGGAGGCGAGGGCTTGGACAGATTGTGTGCCTGGAGGGTCACTAGGGTGTGGAAACATTTTAGAGCTACCTTGGCTTCTCAGCCCCACAAGGCAGCCTCAGTGCAAGCTCCTGACCCTTCAAGGGCCTGAGGCCCTCACAGGGCCTGGATTCACACACAGGAAGGAACTTATGGTGAGTGAGACCTTCACAGTACACTGTACCCAAAAATGCAATGCCCCATATTGTTGCCGAGAGATCCAACCTTCTCTGAACCAGATGTAAGTCTGCAGCTTCAACACCAGGAGAGTAAAGCATCTTCACTGGATACGCATAACGGGCTATTTTCAATCAACCTCATTTGGTCTTCATTAGACATTTAAATATTCAAATAATTCGAATTAAAAATCAGTGAGTCTAAAAAGATGTCACGTGATCTCACACGTACGCAAAAGCTAAAATGCTGATTTCATAGAAGCTGAGAGTAGAACAGTGATTACTACAGGCAGGGAAAGGGAGCGGGCCACAGGAGGTTGGATCATGTGCACAAAGTTATAGTTGGATACAGAAATAAGTTCCAGTGTTCTACAGCACAGTAAGTGTCTACAGCTTATAGCTATTCAATACATATTTTATAAAGAACTAAAAAAGAGGAATTCAAAACTCCCCAACACAGAAAAATGAGAAATTTTTAAGGAGAAGGAAACGCCAACTACCCTGATTAGATCATGACATGTTGTCAACGTGGGGGATCAAATCATCACACTGTACCCCATACAGATGTGCAGTTATTATGAGTCAATTACAACTTAAAAAATAATTCTACTGAAAGCCATTTCTGCTTTAATAGTTGGGTCTGCATCGTGGTCACTACACAGGATGCCCATCAAGATGACCACTGGTCAGGATTCAGTGGAGGAAGTATTAAAATTCAGAACCCTTCAAGGCCTGTGCCTGGATTTGTTGCCTGGGTGACCCCACAGTGCTCTCAGATACGAGGTTTCTTCTGGCTCACAAGCATTGATTTAGTTCTGCTTCATATTCAGGCCTCTTATTTATTTTTCCCCCTTGAGGTGCTGGGGATGGAACAGAGGGCCTGAAGCATGCTCCGTGTACCCCCTCGCTCTGAGCTACACCCCCAGCCCAGGCCTCTGCGTGTTGAATACCTCAAAGCCTGCAGGGCTCCTCTTGCTTGTCCTTCTTCCCTTAACCTCCCCGGCAGCCCAGGTTGGCAGGTTTGAGCTCCTTCCTCGCCAAGCTTTGAACTCGGGTGCACAGCGGCTGCCTGGTCCACACCCTGCCTTCAGCTGTTCTTCCTGTGGTGACTGCATGGTGGTCAGGCCTCAGGACCCTCTGCCAGGCACACCCAATCCCCTCCAGACCCAAGGGCAAGCTTTCCAGGGAAACAGCAGTGCTCCCACAATGTCACTCCAAATCTCATCTGAGAGGTCTTGAAAACGGGGCAGGCGTCATTCTGGATTCCATCCTGTGGTCCCTTTTGTGTGTGTGTGTGGATTTGGTTGGTTGTGTTTGTTGTTGTTGTGTTTTAGGGTTTTGTTGTTTTGTTTTGTTCTGGGAGAATCTTGAATCCCTCCAGGTAACTGGGGGAGATAGTTTCCCAGCTCCCACGTGGTAGAGAAAGACCGACAGGGTAGCATCTCCTGGTGCTTGGAAGTTTTCCAGTGGAACCTTTATTTGGGTCGGTCGGGCCACATGACTGCATTTCACACCTTGGTAACTGCAGACTCCGAAGCGCTTTCCCTCCACCACTTAGAAACTTGGCCTGTGTTTCCAAACCCTCTGCAGCCCTGACCAGGCGAGCTGTCCAAATGCCTCAGCATTTTCCTCGCAGAGGTTCCTTAGGTGGTGATCCAGCGCTTCATCCCGGGCTCTCTCCTTTCATCCTGTTGCAGGAGGCGGTGTGCGACCTTCTTCCTGGACTCCCGCCTGCACCCCTTCCTGAAGCCGCGGCCAGCCGCCTTCCTACTGGGCTCTGAAATGGACGCTCCCCGAGCGCCCCCTGGTGGATTGTGGAGGTAACCGCCTGTCGATGCCCAGCAATGGCCACCGTGCTCCCTCCGGGTCCCCAGCCGACCTCTGGGAATGAGACTCTGCAGGTACATTACAACTACGTGGGGAAGCTGGAGGGCAGGCTGAAGGACCCCTCCCAGGGTGGCAGCACGCTCACCACCATCTTCTTCTTGGTCGTCTGCAGCTTCATCATCTTGGAGAACCTGATGGTTTTGATTGCCATCTGGAAAAACAATAAATTTCACCACCGCATGTACTTTTTCATCGGCAACCTGGCTCTGTGCGACCTGCTGGCCGGTATAGTCTACCAGGTCAACATTCTGATGTCCGGCAAGAAGACGTTCAGCCTGTCCCTGACGGTCTGGTTCATCAGGGAGGGCAGTATGTTTGTGGCCCTCGGGGCGTCCACCTGCAGCTTGCTGACCATTGCCATAGAGCGGCACTTGACCATGATCAAGATGAGGCCCTACGATGCCAACAAGAAGCACGGGGTCTTCCTTCTGATCGGGATGTGCTGGCTCATTGCCTTCTCTCTGGGTGCCTTGCCCATCCTGGGCTGGAACTGCCTGCAGAACCTCCCGGACTGCTCCACCATCCTTCCCCTCTACTCCAAGAAGTACATTGCCTTCTGCATCAGCATCTTCATCGCCATCCTGGTGACCATCGTCATCCTGTACGCACGCATCTACTTCCTGGTCAAGCCCAGTAGCCGCATGGTGGCCAATCACAACAACTCGGAGCGGTCCATGGCCCTGCTGCGAACGGTGGTGATCGTGGTGAGTGTGTTCATCGCCTGCTGGTCACCCCTCTTCATCCTCTTCCTAGTAGATGTGGCCTGCAGGGCCAAGGAGTGCTCCATCCTCTTCAAGGACCAGTGGTTCATCATGCTGGCGGTCCTCAACTCCGCCATGAACCCCGTCATCTACACGCTGGCCAGCAAGGAGATGCGTCACGCCTTTTTCTGTCTGGTCTGCAACTGCCTGGTCAGGGGCAAGGGGGCCCGCGCCTCGCCCATGCAGCCGGCTCTGGACCCAAGCAGAAGCAAATCCAGCACCAGCAACAACAGCAGCCACTCCCCAAAGATCAAGGATGGCCTGCCCCACCCAGCCGCCACATCCTGCATCA